TCCCCCCCCCCCCCCACCCACCCCCCACACACACACAAATTAATTTTCTCTTTCTCCAGTAAAAACACTTTCTAAGAAAAAATTACAGAACTTTTGCGTACATGTCGGTAAATTTTCTATCATACGGAGTAATATATTTGAGTAGTAATAACACGTTTACGTTTTATATTTTGTAAAAATAAATCTTATACGGTTTGTGCAGGGTGATTCGTGCGGAGTAAAAATAAATATCTCTTTTTTCCGAAATAAATATTAGTTCTCGTCGATTATGATCAAGTTAAAATTGGACTAAAAATAAGATCAAACTAAATCACTTTATTGCGAGGGTATGAGGATTGAATCATTTTTTGAAAGAAAAAACTTGTCTAAACAAAAGTGAACTGAAAATTAATCATAATTGAAATTGAAAAGCAAGAACTTAAAATGATTAAGGTGAAATGAGTGAGATTAATTAAAAAAGAGAAAGATGTAGGTGTGCTGGTGAGAGGGTTGGTCAACCAAACAACCACTGCTTTTAAGCTAAGGTGTTTAAACACAAAATTAACAATTGGTACTCATTATATCAAGTGCAAATACTATGGGTTGGTTGATTGGCCATAGACGCTATTATTATTTTGACAAAAATTTGCAACCTAAATAGAATTTCCACCCAACTCCCCTAACCCACCGAACTGTGTGATTATATACTTTCTTTATCTCATAATAATCTTCTAATAATATGAGATTACCACAATTTTTAACAAAAAAGTATTCAGACGCGAGGAGCACAAACGATTGCATAATTAAAAGAAAAAAGAAAAAAAGAAATGGGAACGGAGGAAATAACAGCAGAAGCAATGTATAGACGACAAAGATAAGGCATAGATTGAGTATTCTTTGATCATTTATGGACCTTCTTGTTCAATATAACTTCACAATTCAAGTCGATCATGACATTTCCTTATTATGTACACTCCTATAGCCTTCAACAATGTTCTACTCCAGACAAATCAATTTCACTACTAGGTTCACTGCGCATATATATCATCCCAAATTCAGGAAAAATAAACAAATATCAATATTCCACAGCTTCAAATGGTGGCTGAATTGTAAAAAACTGACCTACGCAATCTCCAGGATGCATGAAGATTCTAGCTCGAGCCACGATGATGATGACCATCGTCTCTACTGGGGTAGTTGTTCCAATCACTGTCCCCAAAAACTTCATCAATCATGCCGGGAGTCGGCAACAACTCCACTCTGCTCCGAGGGCTGCACCCAAAGAAACCCACATCCCATTCCTTATTACAGGGCTCCACCACCACATTGTGCCTGGTGTCACTGCTGCACGTACCCACACTCTGTTCACAATCTTTGATAGTATTGATCTTCCCCTCTGCTTGCTGTGGCGTGACAACACCATTACAGCTGTAATCTCCTTTTGGAAGGACTCTGTCCCATTCCCGAACGGACTGATTGGGCCCGGGAAAATACTACAGGAGAAAAAAGAGCAGAAGAAAAAATATTATGAAGGAGAGCAAGAAGGAAATAAAATGTGGCACGAAATAAAATATAGGCTAAAGAGCAGTTAATTTATTGGTATGTGATCCATACATACCGTTACTGTTGGTTCATGATTGACAGCATTATTTGTCTGAATGCTACTATTCTCATTATATACCATTTGATTATCAACAAGGCGGTGATCATCAATATGAACAGGGGATTCGACAACCAAATCTTCATCTTCACCACTCACTTTAGCTTCATCTTCAGACGACTCGCCCGGTGCATGCCATTCATCATTGTCACTATCAATATTCAAAGGGTCAAACCTGTTCTGCTCAGCTCGCCTCCTCAGCATGAAGACGTTAAAGTAGTAACTCACTATTTGCTTCTTAGTCCTTGAAGGAAACTCAACAGCGAGGTTGTCCCAGAAATTCTTGCCGAGCGATGCAGGGTTGGAAAAGACAACGTCGTGGAACAATTCCTGTTCATCTTCACTCCACCTTGAAGCCACCACCTCACCCATATCTTCGAATCCAAGACTGACAAATATCTCCTCGCCAAGCACTCGCCTTAGTTTCTCTCTCGCTTCAAAGTTGTGTTGACGAATGCATCTAATTGACCCCACATCTCCACATACACAACCACCACTTCCAGTTCCTGCGCTGCTATTGTCATCGCATCCAGCAGGGTCCTGTTTGGGCATGGGAATGATACATGTTCCACAGAATCTATTGTCATCACCAAAATGGCCATTTCTATACCAGTCTACATCTTGGGAAGTTTTATTCTTCTCGTGTCCCAAGATAACAGGTATGTCTGCCTGATGATTCGGACCAAGGGGAACCAGCTTTCGAGGAGGGCTTCTAATGAGAGAAGAATATATTATTTTTGAACGGGCAAGATTGACATCGTGATGCTCAGGGGACAATAATATGTAATAATGACACTCTGGCTTAACATCTTCTTCACTGGTGCTGCTAGTGGCAGAACCATGGGGGATGCCTCTTTGAGCGCTCTGAAAATCATCAGCGTATTGACCATCAAATTTCTCATCAATCGTGAAGTTTCTTTCAAATGGAATATCAGCCTCACCTTCACCTACCAAATATTAGGACCAATCTTTTAGTACAAACATACAAGAGTGCAATTAGAAGGTGTTATGACTCTTATGAAGGGAAAGATGTAAAAACAATCCAAACTCAATTATTCAGTTAAAAATATTTGTTCTAAATTACTCAGTATTTTATTTATACATTTCTATGATATACTAACTAAGAAATGTAGATAATGTAAAAGAAAATCAAAGGTTTTAGTCAATTTCAACATTAAACCAAACATAAAACTACTTTTCTTAGCAGTTTTTATTTCCCTTTCACCAGAACAACATTATAGTTGTATAGCAGAGTAGCATAAACCAATTAAATATCAAAAAAAATACAGCTTTATGTTCTTTAAGATGTTGCAGAATCCTTCTTTCACCTAAAGAGTGAGACTTGAAAGGAATAGGAACACGAGGAAAGCCCAAAAAAGCTAGCTGGTCACAATGCCTCACAAGCCTAGGCTGCTTGGATGAAAGCTCATTCAATTCTTGGTCAAATGACCGTTTTTGCACCATGTTTATCTGAAATTGGATTTTTAGTTGTATAAGCAACATGACAACGGTATAAGCAGTAAACCCACATCAAGACTCGCACATTTACATGCGTGGAAAAAATTCAATCCCGCATTAGAACATGACAGGCACGCAAAAAGTCATTAGCTAGTACCAAAAGAAATCCGTTTTTCTTTGAAATTTCTGAGTAATAAGAGAACCGATCTCTTCATAAGGGGTTAAGCATAATTGTGCTATGATCTATTCTCTAGTCAATGCCAAAGTTACACCACTGGGGATTGGGGAATACCATTTCTACATATATATTTCGAATTGGCAAGTGGCTGTTGGCAATATTTTATCCCTTGCTACATAGTTCACTATATTTCCAACAGGCAAGAGTAGTAGTACTGGATAAATACCCATTTTCCAGAGTAAATCAATGACAAACTGAACATTA